AGAAATCATAAATAATTGTTGAACAAAAAGTATATATTAAATACATAATTTTATTTAAATATTGTAAATATTGGTTAGGCATTTTCCAATTGTGTCTATTAGCAGCTGTGTACCAATGAATTAACTAGTTGCAAGACATCTAGCATGTTTCTTTAAGTGTTTCTACTGTATCTACATGCTCTTTACCCTGTTCTGATGTCCTTCCAGCTTCTTGATGGGACACTTGCGCAGATCTCCGGCCATGTCGCTGTATGTCTGGGGTCTGGCGGTGTTGTCTTTCTCAGAGACTGCCAGGGCCTGGACCAGCTGTTGTGCTGCCCATTGTCGGTGTCTGCTGGTCAGCCTGGCCGACAGGGCACAGGCAGCGAGCGCATTAGCCAGCTCCAGCGGCCCGACCCGCATCCCCGCTTGAGAGAGTGGGGGACCTGCGGGTGGAGGGCTTCCGCCTTCTGTCCAAAGACATGTGAAGTTAATTAGGATAAATTAATTCCAAATCATTAATTGCCATTTAAAAATGATATATGGGTACCTAAGTGAGTCACTAGAATTAAAATCAGCAGGGTTCCCAAAACTTTTGACCACTGTTCATGACTTTTCCATAAGATTTCCAGTCATTCATGATTACTGGTTATTTAATTATTTGCTTGTTTGTTTGTTTATGTATTATTTTGGTAGACTGCATTCTCAAGGAATAACTTTTAACCAATTACATATTTTAGAGATAAGCATAACTAGAAAATATTTACATTCACTACAGACCTTTCCTTATGATTTCAGATTTTTCTATGACTTTTCCAGACCTGGTAATCATATGCAAAATTCCCTGATACTTCAATAAACAGTTTAAGCAAAAAATATACATTTCCTGATACTTACAGGATTTCCATGACAGTGATATTTATGAAAAGTCAATAAAAACAAAAAATGTATGAAATAATAAAAATGTTAAATTAAAATAACAAAAAAATAAATTCCTAAGACTTACAGGATTTCCATGATAGTGAGACATATTCGTTTTTTTTTTTCTTTCATTTTTATATTTTACTATAAATATTGTCATGTGACCATTAACTGAAAAGGAACCATGAATTTGCGAATGTCTTGTTAAAAGATTGTAATTATTATTAAAATAAATATTAACTTAAAATGTAATAAAAATGTCAAATTTAAAATAAATCAAAAAAAGAAAATATCCTTGCAGGATTTACATGACAGTGGGATTTATAAAAATTTCCCATATACACACACACACACACACACACACACATATATTACATATATATATATATATATATATACATACATACAATTAAATAATAAAATGTAAACACAAATAATCTGAAAAAATATTGATATATTATTAAATAATAAAATGTAAACACTTAAATAATTTGAAAATTATTAAAATAAATTGTATTAATATTTCATATTTTACTATAAATATGTTATTTGTTTACCAACATGTCATGTGACCATTAACTGGCAATAAAAATAAAAAAAAACAACTGCGTTGTTCAGTTTTTGAAATATTAACTTAAAATGTCAGGATGTACTTCAATTAAATATTTCAGGTCCAAGAGGTTTTGGAAGACAACAAAGTTTGGAAATCGCTGGTCTAAAATAAACAAAATGTTTCTGAAACATTTAAAACATATGTACGTTTTTTAGTCTAGAAAATATAAAAAAAAAAATTTGTTACCCTTTGATTCACTGGATTCACTTCTTTCCACATTATAACGGTATCGGACACCTTTTTCTGTCAGGAGAGACACTAGACTCTGTGTGACCAGGAAGGTGGGCGGGGTTAGTTCTCTTGGCTCCTGTGACGCCCCCTTGAGGACGGAGCTTTGCCTCACCCTCTGCTGCGGATCGGTGATAGCGCTGATGTTCATCCCTGTAGCTGCTGCCATGAGATCCTGAGAGGAAGGACATGCAGGTGAGACAGCATGATTAGGCAGAAGACAGGATGATTAAACAAACTGAAAGTAGAGAATGATAAGTAGCAAGGATAATGAGGTGAGAAACATTAACGGAGGAGACAAGAAAGATGGATGGGAAGGAGGAGAGAGAGAGAGAGAGTGCGTACCTGAGTGCAGATGTCCACTAACTCTCTGTAGGCAGCAGGACTGTGGGACACTAAACTGCCGATAGCTGAGCTGAGGAAGGACAGGAAGGCGGAGTCTGTGCGATCGCTCACAAAGCCACGCCCCACTCCCTGCTGGTCCACGCTTGTGTGGACACGCCCCCCCGCTGCCAGACACATCAGCCGCACCAGGATACGGATGTCAGCCAGACCAAAAGCCTCCAGACCACTGGACTGATTACACACCGAACTACTGAAACACACAGTGATAGACAAAGTTTTGAAGAGACATATCATATTGCACAGCAACAATGTGTATATGCATATACACAAACATATATGAAACCTAAAAACATTGCAATGTAACAAAAGTAATGACAGATAACTTCTTCTGTATTATGTATATCTGAAACAGATTATTGAAAAAGAATAAAAAAAAAAAAATGAAGGGCTCATCATAAAGATTTTGAATAGACAAGTTAGTCAAATAAAATGAAATGGCCCAGGGAAGAGTAACACATTTGTGATTAATGAGTATGATGTTGATGAGTGAATGATGGAACTCTGCAAGGCTCAGATTCCGAGCAGGTCAGACAGACATTGATGGAGCCTTCGCAGTATGAAATGTCAGATTCGATGTGAAGGAGATCACAGAGCAGATGATATATTTTGTGCCGAGGGAAGTCAGGAATGAGTGGTTGTTACCTGGTGGAGGTCTGTGAGAGAGCTCTCATCACCATACTGTAGGCCAGCAGGATCTGAGCGGTGGAGGTGACTCTCCTTAGAGCCAACAGTCTCTCCTGGGGCTCCCGCAGGGATGCTGCCTGCTCCCCGAGACTCAGAGGAACCGAGGAGCTCTTCAGCTCGGTGCTGACAACACCTACACACAGAAACAAATGACAACCTGCTCTAATTTACTGAGATTTTAGAAAGCTCTTGTAGGAAATATGAAACTAAATGAGAACATTACCTTTGTAAAGCAGGTTGTTATTGCTGCTGACCGAGCCACTGACGAGGGATCCGAGTGGGTCGTGTTCAGTGAAGGGGATTGGGTCGGGCACGGGCTTCTTCTCACTCAGACCCAAAGGTCTCAGAAGAATCCCAAAGTCCTCCAAACCTGTAAGCCGGTCTGAGTCCGAGTCTTCCTGGTTACCTAGATCCCACTCATCTAATACAGACACATTTAAATCATTACGCATTCATTTAATAAACTGCACAGTGTTTGTTATTTAAAAGTTTGCACAAATACCTTCTGATGTACCATCTAATTGACCAATTAGATCAGACACCAAACCTCTTGCCCTGAAAAAACAACATCTGGGTTGTTATACAGCAAAAGCCAATGGCTACAACATGTTCACTGTTTCCTCATCTTCACCTGTCCTGTTTGGAGCTCATAACCCCCAGGTTGGAGGACAGGTACTTTTCCCTGCATGCAGTGCACAGGAGGTAGTATGGGCTGCCCGATCCGCATTCGCCTCCGAACCAGCCGTCCACGTAGGCCCCGTTGCTGCGGTAACCACGGCGACCGGCGCTCTGACCACAGCCTGGGTGGTGACGCTTCATGTGGTTGTTGAACTGCAGGGTGAGAGTGTTACACAGCTCACACTCCACCATCTCATTGGGCTCTGGGTGCTCTTCTCTTCCCTGAGACAAAAAGAGACGCGTGTTCACTCAACATTGAGATACTGCGAGAGAGAAATGAAAAACACATTCATAAATGGACAAATAATATTAAAAGAAAAACAGACAGATAGAATAATAAAACAAACAAAATAATTCACACAAAACGATAAAATAAATTATAAATAGGATGGAAAAAATTATAGACGACAAAATAATATGATAGATACAACCCCAATTCCAAAAATTTTGTAAAATGCAATAAAAATAAAGAATCTGTGATTTGTTAATTCTCTTTAACCTTAATTTAATTGACACAAGTACAAAGAAAAGATTTACAAAGTTTTCACTGACCAACCAAATTGTATTTTGTAAGCATAAACAAATTTTGATTTTGATGGCTGCAACACACTCCAAAAATGTTGGGACAGAGGCATGTTTACCACTGTGTCACATCAACTTTCCTTTTAATTACAATGTTTAATCGTTTGAGAATTTGAGGATATCGTTAAAGTTTTGCATGCAAAATTTTTATCCAATCTTGCTTGATACAAGATTTCAGCTGCTCATCAGTCTGTAGTCGTTATTGTCTAATTCTCATTTTCATGATGGGCCACACATTTTCAATAGGAGACAGATCTGCTGGCCAGTCAGTCACATTCACTCTGTGTCCACAAAAGTACGCTGTTGTAGCACATGCACATGCATGTAGCACCTGCTATTGTCTTGATCTAATAACCATGGACTTCCCATGAAAGACGTCATCATGATGGCAGTTGTATGTTGCTGTACAATTCCAATATATGCCTCCATGTCAATGGTACCGTCGCAAATATTCCAGTCACCCATGCCGTTTGCTCTGCTGCACCCCCATACCATGACAGACGCTTGCTTTCGCATCTGTCGCTGATGAAAGTCTGGATGGTCCCTTTGGTCTTTAGGACTGAGAACTCTACATCCATTTTTCCCAGAAACAAGTTGAAACGTGGACTCATCTGACAACAGCACACATTTCCACTGTCTTTTTGACTATCTGAGATGAGCTCTGGCCCAGAGAACCCTGCGGCATCACTGCATAGAATTGATGTATAGCTTTATCCTAGAGTAACAGAGATTCAAGTTGCATTTATTGATGCAGCGGCAGTCTGTGGTAAATGACAGCGGTTTTCTAAAGTACTCCTGAGCCCATGTGGCTATATTTAACACCGCAGCATGACGGTTTCTTATGCAATGCCATTTGAGGACTCAAAGGTCATGCGCATTCACCTAAGGTTTCCTGCCTTGCCCTACACAGACTGAGATTTCTCTGGATTCTTTGAATCTTTTCACAATATTATGTATGGTATTTGGTGAAAGACCTAAATTCTTTGCGATTTTGCATTGAGAAATGTGATTTTTGTTTTATTTGACACTTGTCTCATAAAATTTGGCACAAAGTGGCTTTGCTGGCAAAGACTGAGATGCTCCTTTAATACCCAAACATGATCCCCTCACCTATTACTAATTCACCGGCTTATTGTGGACTGTTTCAAAACAGTTTAATTGGGATATTCTATAACCTTTTCACTATTATTTTGCCTCTGTACCAACTTTTTTGGAGTGTGTTCCAGCCATTAACATCAAAATGTGTTCATATTTACAAAATGCATTTAAGCTGGTCAGTGAAAACATTGGAAATCTTTTTGGTAACACTTTATTTTATGGTGTCCTTGTTACACATGTTACATGTACTTAGTATAGTAATAACAATAAATTATGCATAATTACATGCAACTAACCCTAAACCAAACCCTCATCCTAACCGTAACCATATAGTAGGTACATGTAGTTACTTAATATTACTCAGTACTTAAATGTATATATACACTGTAACAAGGACACTCTAAAATAAAGTGTAACCAACTTTTCTTTGTACTTTTGTCAATTAAATAAAAGTTACAGGTTCTTGATTTCACTGCATTTTACAAAACGTCCCAACTTTTTTGGAATTGGGTTTGTAGATAGAAGGAATGATAGAACGATAGAAAAACAGAATAAATGACAGAACGATAAATAGAAGGAATGACAGAATTATAGATAGAACAACAGAACGAAAGGCAGACAGAACGAGAGAACGTAATGAGAGAATGATAGATAGAACGATAGATAGAACGATAGAACAATAGATAGACTAAACAGATGTAACACAACAGAACGATATATATAACCAACGAAAGAACTATAGGTAGAAAGAATGGTAGATAAAATGATAGATAGGAAAAAACAACAGATAAAACAAACGATAGACAGACAGAAAGACAGATAGTGTCTCCAGTACCTCTACCATCCACAGCGTGTCCCTCTCAGAGGTGATGAACTCTGGGGTGAGCAGCTCCTCATACGGTTCTTCCTGGTACGGATCATCCATGTAGCCCAGCTCTGAGTCGTCTTCAGCAGCAAACGGGTGCGTTTCAGCCCGCTCTGGCCACTCTGCCACTCCCACATCCTGTCTGTACAGCGATGGGACAGGACTGGGCGACGGGGAGTCTGAAACAAACCAGACAGATGAGCAAACTCACCCTTGCTGAATAAAAAAATAATAATTTTTAAAGACACCAAACTTTTGAATGTTACTGTATGTGACTCTGACCTGCTCTCCTGAAGGAAGTTCTCTGACTTACTCCGGACCGCTGCCTCCGCGCAGGTGGAGGTCTGTTCCTGGTGAGGTGAACATCTAAGAATTTCTCTCTCTCCACCAAGTCCAAACCTGCCAACAGACTGGAAAGCACATCGGGAATACACACAATGAATAATTGGAAATGAGCCCATGTGGTGTGCTCTGTTTATACCACAGTGTTTGGCAAATTTAGTAGGTCGGTGTGATCTTGCAAACATGACATTTGTATACTGTGCTACTATACATACTGTAAACTAGAAATAGAAAGAGTAGTATGGTACCGAAAGCAGACACCGAAGCCAAGTGGCAGTCAAGGTTGGTCAGGACTTAATATGCTGGATTAATATGCAAGAGATCAGCTATCACTGGTTAGGATGTAGAGAATGTGTGAATTCACCTCTCGTTGGGTTCTCTACTCTCCTGTACAGTCAGAGGAGCTGGAGACTCAGGGCACTGGACCGTCTCTGGCCCTTCAGATGAGGGCGTATCAGCGGCGCCCCCTGCAAACGAGCCCTCTCCTGCCTGCTGCTCCTCTGTGATGGGATGTTCCAGCATCCAGCTCGCCAACACCTCGATGGTGCGTGAGTCCACCTCTCCAGTGACCCCTGAGAGAGGTCACAAAAAGGTCAGGGAGAATACTCAAAAAAATGTTTAGACACACTTGACTGACTGAATGTTTCTCGTGATCTTAAAAACCATTTGGTCTGAAGGTGTATGATTAATGCTTGAAATTTGTCAAATATAAACAGTCTCTATTAATTAATTTCTTTTGAAATATTTCATTTTATTTTAAAAACGAACATAATGGAAGCAGACTTGTTGGACTAGAAATCTATGGAAGCTTGTTTCTACCATGGGATAATAATTGCAACATTTTATTATACAATTCAGACTTTTTTCCTCACAATTCTGTTTATATCTCAAAATTACGAGAAAAAAGTATGAACTTTGAGATAAAACGTCAATTTTGTTTCTGTGGCAGAAACAAAAAACAGAATATAAACTCTGAATTCTGAGGAAAAAAGTCAGAATTCTGAATTTATATCTCTCTGATAGATAAAACTAAATAATTGACTTATTTTAAAAGTTGGCTTTGCTAACAAAAAATACAAAAATATATAATTTAATTTTTGTGTAAATATGCAATAAAAATAATTATTACAAACACATACAAAATATTTATATAAATAAGCTGATTTTGTTGAACTGTGAACAGAGCATTCATAACACAAAATAAGACTTCATGCAGTGCTCCACTAATATTTCCCATGATTCAGCTGAGTGTTTCAGTGGGGAAGAACAACGAGGAGTGAATTGAAGCAGGATCTCATAGGGAAGTGTAATGAGTGTATCTACTGCAATAACAGCATCATCAGCAATCAGCAGTAAATAATTAGAGACTAAAAGAAAAAAAAATACAATAATAAAAAAAAATAATCAAAAGTACAAAACTCAACATAATTATCCATCTCTTCTAGTTGTGAATAACTGCACTGCAGTCACTGGTTTCTTAATCTTTGAAAATTCCATATAACATTGTAACATGATTGTCTCCTTTAGCAGGTAAGAATGAGTCTGGCTAGATGTTGCAAGCACTCGCTGGTACCTGCTGCCTCCATGGCCCTGTAGATGTGTCTCATTGAGAAGCCCATTTCAAGCAAGCGCACTGGGACAAACATTTGGGGCTGTTCTGAAGGACAGAAATGAAAATATTCAGTGATGCATCAAAACGTATCTGGACTGGGCTGACTGATGCAGTCAGTCAGGTAAATATGATTTTTTTTAAATGATTTATTTAGACAGTATCTGCATTCAAAAAATAAAGAACTGTGCTAGAGAAGGCAAGGGAACTTTTTGGTCAACAAAATGACACATGGACTACAAATTCCATTACTTATTTTATTTTATTTTTTTACACATAATAAAGTTCAATATCTGAGGCCACTTTGAAAATCAGGATTTTTTTTAAATTTACATGAAATAGTTTCATATAAAATGTAATATAATATAATTACAAATATTCAGAAAATTATAAATAAATTAGGGTAATATTTCTAAGTCACTAATCAAATTTGTGTTATTAAAAAACTAACTAACACATTCTGAAATTTTACTTTAATTATATTAATTTTTATATATTAATTTTAAGTATTTTTCAATTTACCTTTCACACAGACTGATACACTGATAATATAATTAAATATATTAAGTGTAATATAAAAATATAATTTAAGTCTTAAAAAAAAAAAAAAAAAATTGAAAAGCAATATTTTTCAGTAGTAGTCTCAGAGTTTTGGACCCCAGTGCATAAAAAATATAAATATATTTATAAAATAAATTGGTAATTTATTGTGAGATTCAAGGTGCCATTCAATAGGGTGTAAAGATGCACAAAAAATGTTTGCAATCGGTGAGTACAGTATGTAACAAACCAAAAAATCGTTCCAAAGCAAGACTCACGTGTAAAACATGCACAGGCATCAGGGTTAAGTTAAAGGGTTACATTTCTCAAGCTCTCCCACCTGGTGCTACATAAACCAGTCTTGACATAAGTTTCTAAAAACAAATTAAATAAATCGCTGGAACATCATCCGCTGACCAGATGAACTGTGTCCATGGATGCCACATGCAGGACATCCACTTACTACGCCCTTGTATTCCAGAGTTTGTCTGGACGTCTTACCCACGGGGGTCCTGGTCTGTCCGCAGGGCTCCAGGAAGCTGGTCTGTTGCTCAGTGAAGCCCTCACAGGACGCTGAGCTCGTCAGGCTGAGCCCGGGGGGCAGAACCGGACTGTGGACGAGACCTGCCAATGTGGGAAAACGCGCCAGCACCATCCGCCTAGAGGAGCCCAGCCACACACACATGCACACACAGACACAGGAGAACCGCTAGCACCTGCTCTAGAGCAAACCTTCAGCTTGAGCATGTGTTATGTTGAGGTATAAATCACTCTCGTGTCATTAAGCCATACTCAGACACTTGAAGTTAAGAGGAGCATGTGTTTATAAGGTTATAACACACACAGTCACGGATTTACACACACTCACCTGTATTCTCACTCACACTCTCAGTAACCTGTGTGTGAGTGTGTGTCTCAGTTGATGGCGATCTGGAGTGTGAACATCCAGACATGTCAGAGAGTTTACCGTGTGTGTGTGTGTGTGTGTGTGTGTGTGTGTGTGTGTTTGAGACAGTCTGAAACACTGTCTCATATCCCTTTCTTTCAAATTGACATTGAATGGCACAGTTATTAAAAAAACCATACACATATTACGTGCCAGAACAATTACATTTCAGATGTTACACAAAGTTTATCAAAAAATTACCATTACTTTAAAGTACTTTATAATTACTTCACTAATTCATAGGTTCCTTTATTATACACTTTTTACATTTTAATAATTGGGCTTGGATGAAAAAGAAACTCACTGTAGCAGGTTGATGGGCAGAAAAGGGTTAAAGTTATCCAGGCCGTCAGCCTGCAGGGCGGTGAGGAGCGAGGCTGTGAGGTCATTGGTGGAGGGTGAAGCTGATTGGCCGAAGATGGCAGTGCCTTCAGAGCCGTTGCTGTAAAGCGACACTGAACTGGAGGACTTGGACACGGGCTGAGAGGACGGGTGCCCTCCTGAATCTATGTACACAGACACAAATCAACAAGTAGTCAAATTAATTAATATACAAAAAACAAATATTAAAATTAAAATTCTATATTATTATTAGTAGTAGTAGTAGTAGCTATTATACAGACGTTTGCCTTTCTAAGCTATATGAAATATTACTACTACTATTAAATTATTATATTAAATTTACTAAATTAAATTACTAAATATTTTAATTAGTAAGTAAATAAAAAATATACTAATGATGATGATGATTTTTGTATATTTTGTGTCTTATTTTTACAGACTTTAGCCTTTTCATTATTTTATTAAATTATTATATTCAAATGATTAAAAGTAGAAATTAGTAGTTAGTAATTAGTTAGTAATAAGCAAATTATATTTATAAATAATAATAATAAACAAATAAAGACTAGTAATAATAATTGATTATTATTAGCTATTTTTCCAGACTTTTGCCTTTCTAAGCTATATTAAATACTACTACTTCTATTAATAATAACAAATTACATAATTGTATTAAAATTATTAAATTATGAATTTAAATAAAGTAATTAAAAAATAAACAATAGTAATAATAAAAAATATAATGATAATGATTATTATTATTGTATATTTTGTGTATTATTTTTACCAACCTTTGCCTTTCTTTTTATTATATTTAATTACTATATTAAAATTATTAAATGTTACTAAATTATAAATAAATAATTTTTAAAAAATCAGTAGTGATATTAATAATTATTTTTTATTATTGTTAGCTACTTTTACAGACTTTTGCCTATTAGCTATTTTTTTACTTTTGCCTTTTTGCCTATTAATAACAATCATAATACATTAAATCATTTTATTAAAATTGTTAAATTATATTAATAATAACAAATAAATAAATAAACAGCAGTAATATTTATAATGATAAATTAATTAAATTATTATATTAGTAAATTATTAAATGACATTATTGAATCATTATAAACAAATAAATAAACATTTTATTTATGTATTATTATTATTATTTTTATTATTAATACTACTACTACTACTACTACATGTCAAGTTAAAAAGTTTAAAGGGGTCATGAACTGAGAAATCAAATTTCCCTTGATCTTTTGACATAGAAGAGGTCAATGTACTATTAAAAACATCCTGTAAGTTTCAAAACTCAAAACTTTGTTGTTAGTTTAAAAACAGCTTTTATTGAAACCAAGTTCAGAAAACGACTCGTTTTGGAATGTGCCACTTTATGACGCAATAGTGTGGCTAAGCACCGCCTCCGCATGAGAAGATCAATGCCTGCTTCGACATCACTGCCTCTTTAGCCCCGCACACTGATACACGCTTGTAGTAGAGGAGACAAAATACTAGATTGACGCAAGCACAGTATCAACAGAACCATACAGAAGACATTACAACATTACAAGACACTGTGTAGTGTAAGTTGTAAAAAATACTCCTTGAATTGCCTTCCTTGTGATCCTAACATATCTAGATCGGACACGGGTGCTGTTGTGTCATGTCGCGAATCAATTTCTCTTTCAGGTCAGAAGCGGCGTGAATGCTTGTATTTCAGAAATAGAGCAGGACATCAGTTTACTGTCGGATAGTCGCGTTGCGCCGCTCGCGTCCGGTGTAAAATTAGCAAAGAACTCCAGACTGCATCAGTGAAACACTGTTTGTTTGTTTGCTTTACTTTGCTATGGATTCATCAACAAGACAGTATGATGCAGGCTTTTCAGCGAGACTGAAAGTAAACGATGATGCAGCGCTGAGTCTGACTAGAGTGGATCCAACAGTAATGTCACAACACATAAGTGTGAGTAAACGTATTTTTACCACTATTACATTGTCTGTTCCAGAACGTTTGACATATACTGTGTGTTGTTTTCCCATGTTGTTTTCAGAGTACGTCACAGCAACGTCCATCTGTTATTTTAACAAGCGAAACTGTAATCCAATCACAGCAGTGGGTGTTTACTTACGACTCTTGAATGTGCCCCGCCTATAGAAACAGATCGTTCTGCAGAGAGGCTCAAAAACAGGATAGAAAATAGCCTATTACTTCTAAATCATTAGGTTTTTTGATGTAGTCACACAAACATTATAAGTGAACCTCAGAGAACATTATACAATAATAAAAAATGCAGTTTATGACCCCTTTAATTATTATTATTCAACAGTAAAGGTAGTAAACAATTGAATAAACCATGTTGTTGCAAAAGCTCCAGACCTTTGCGTTCTTTGCTTCCATCCTCATGCAGTCTGCTCAACACTCCTTTAAAGATGATGATCTGGGCCCTCTCAAGGTCTGATAAAGCCATGGCCTGTTTGATCGGACAGGGTCTGACGGCCCACTTCACCATGCTCCGCACCACAAACTGCAACACAGAGCGCAGCTCGGCATTCTCCTCCCCTCCAGCAGAGGCCCTCGCTGGGTCGGGGCTACTTACATTGACCACTGCATCTGATTTGGGAACCAGGAGAAGATCAGTGAACTTCCCGCAGCTCAGAATGACAGCCAGAGATTTTAGCGCCCCCAAGAGGAGGTAGGAAATGCGGACTGCACGTAGTTCCAAAGCAAAAAAGTCCACCCTGGGTTGTGGTGCGAGAATTGGTGGACAGGGGGTGCCAGCAGGCTCCTCGTTTGACTGTACAAGGGGTCTGAACGTGTCATCTTGGTTCTCATGTCTCCTCTCTTCCACTTTATTTCTCTCTTCATCCACCGGACAGCTCATTCCCTCTTCGTCCATCATAATACGTGCAATGTCCTCATCCAAACGTCTCTCCAGCTCGCTACGTGGGCCGCCCTCTGAGCTGATCCGATTCCGTGGCAATCCAGATGTTTCGGATGATCCGGAAGGAGGCTCCTGCTCTTCCAAGATGCCAGTCATCAGGATGAGGTCGAACAACACGGATGGCTTGAGGCCACAGCAGCGGGACATGTCCAGCTGGGGGACATCACACGGCTCCAGGGAGGAGAGAGGCGTGTCGCTGGGTGACCAAGAATTCAGGAAGCTTTGGGTTAGTGGGACCACAGCAGGTCACAAGCAGTATGAAGATGAGGAGAGGAGTGAGACGGAAGGGGCAAGACAGAAATAAAAGAGTGGAAAGGCAAAGGATACCATGATTAGAAAAAAATGAAGGGGACAAAAGACAATACAAGAAAAGGGAAGTGAAGAAATCGAAAAGGAAAAAAGACGCATGCAACTGGCAAAAAGAACAGGACAGGTATAACATACAAAATATACAAAAATTACAATGGCATCTGAACATAGAAACTAATGACAGTGCTGAAGAACATTAAGTCATAAGGTACTACAATATTTTACTCTAAAACAAAAAATGAGGAACCTCCTTCCTAAAATATATATACATAAATATGTATACATACATTTATAATGTGTGAGAAAAAAATATTAAGTGTCATATTACAACGGCAACACATTTTTATAAAATGAAATGGTCTTTTATATGGCCACTGCACTGAAGTAAAACTAAATCAATGCAATATTAATGGGACAATATTTACTTCCAACCACTAATAAAATATTGTTAGATGTATAAGTCTTGCATATAAAAAAAAACATAAAAAATAATATATATAATAAATCTGATGTATTATATATATATATATATATATATATATTCGAAAATCGCTAGGTATTA